CAATCTAACTTCCGCCTGGCACCTAAAGGATTATGGGTGGCGCGGAGATAATGCCCGAGGCGACGGGGGTGCCACCTCCGCCAAAGAAATCGAGAGAGGAGTGCGACCAGTAAAAAACAGATTCAAAATGGAAAGGCGAAAAGAGGGAAAATGGCAGTGAAATATTTTTAAAAGGTAGATACAGGGTAAGAAAATGGGAAAGTGAAACGAGAGGATAGATAAAGAGGAAGAAAAAGGCATTGTATAAACACGAGAAACAAGAGATCGAGGAAAAAAAAAGAGAGAAAAAGGTGAAAAAAAAGAGAGAAAGAGTAAATAAAAAGGAAAGAAGTGCGTATTCATATCCCCCCTCCCCCCATCTCCGGCACCACCTCCCACTCGAATCAAATCTATACAATTCGGCCTGTTGTGACCGGAAACGCTCGGCGGTTTTATCGATCGATTTCCACTGAGGCGGAAAATGACACCTTCCCACGTCCTCTCTCGCCTTTTTCCTTTTATCTACCTTCCTTTTTTCTTTTTTTTAATACTTTCACACGGGTGACGATGATGCTGATATCGATTTCAATAGAAGCAACTCCAATGACAATCTCTGTGTCATCACTAAAATAGCTATAGTCTTCACCGCCATTACCAACATCCCAATTATAGACCAACCAACGCATTAGCTTCCACATAGGCCCACACCTCCTCCATCTTCCTTCCCCTCCCCCCCCCCCCCACCCCTTTCCCCTCCCCTCCCCTCCCACCCCCTTCCCCTTCCTTACCCTCCCACCCCCTCCCCTTCCCCCACCCTCAACACAACCCCAACCACCCACACTCCACACCCTCACCCTCACACAAAAACCCCCTTCGATGACGCAAAAAAAACAATAATTAAAAAACATAAAGGCATCCGCGGGGTAGGCAGGCACCCTCTCCCCCCCACCCAGCCTCGAGGTTGATCAAGAAATCCCCACTAATCACTCTCCAAATTCAGTGATGCCATAACGGGCTCCAACCATCGCCATCTGGACTGCGGTCGAGAGAGGGGAAGCGTCAGCATGGATTATGTAAGCGAGAGAGAGGGAGAGTGGAGGAGAGAGTGGAAATAAAGGTCGAGGAAGAGGGAAAACGGAAAATAAGAGAAAAAAGGGAAAGAGATGGGGGGGAGGAGGAAGAGAGTAAGAGAGAAAGAGAGAGAGTGGAAGAGGTGAAAAGAAAGATACTAACGGTTAGTGGAGTAGAAGGATGGAGAAAGAGGAAGAGAAAAGGAGAGTAGAGGGGAAAAAAAGAAAGACAGGGAATGAAACTAGAGAAAATACAGTCGCAAAAACACTTCACAAGTCCCTACAACGTGGATGAACAAAAAAAAACAAAAAAACATCCACCCAAGTAGAACCATCGGCCTTGACAGAGAATGGATGTGCAGCGCAGATATATCGGCATTCTAAATCTGTGTGCACATAAGACTAATTAACTTGGCGTCCAACCCACTTGCCTGACTGACAAACTGCTCGCTCCATTATTCAAAAGGAGTATAAAACGGACTCCAAATCGGGATAGACAAATAACTTACTTTTGACTCGGTGTTGAGGAAGAGACATACGCACACACGCACGCAGACACACACATAAACACACAATATACAAACTTTATATACACACACATGGACGTGCACATTTATGCGTAGTCAAATACACCGAGAGAGGAAGAGATAGCGACGGAGAAATCATCTTTCGTGAGATTAGTGAATAATAATGACAGACAAAATGCCTCGAATGACTAAATGCACGAAGTAAAACGCCCCCGACACCCACCACCAGCGAGCACCAGTACCATCATTCCCAGCGGCAATATTACTGCAACAGCGCACTATGGCTTCTGTTGTCGCCTTATGCAGCGTGCCCTGCTTTCGCTTGTTTCTCTCTTTCGTTCTTGCTCTCTCCCTCTACCTCTTTCTTTCTTTCTTTCTTTTCTTTTATCTCCTCTCTTCTCTCTCTCTCTCTCTCTCTCTCTCTCTCTCTCTCTCTCTCTCTCTCTCTCTCTCTCTCTCTCTCTCTCTCTGTGAATATATGTGTGTGTGTGTGTGTGTGTGTGTGTGTGTGTGTGTGTGTGTGTGTGTGTGTGTGTGTGTGTGTGTGTGTGTGTGTGTGTGTGTGTGTGTGTGAGTGTGTGTGTGTGTGTGTGTGTGTGTGTGTGTGTGTGTGTGTGTGTGTGTGTGTGTGTGTGTGTGTGTGAGTGTGTGTGTGTGTGAGCGCGTAAACGCGCATTTACCTATATCTATCTATCAATCATTTAGCCACCCTCATTCTCTCTCACTGTCACTCACTTTTTCTTCTTCTTCGGCCACACCATCGTCATATCATCCTCATCATCCCCTTCTTCTCCCTTCTTCCTCCCAGTCACCGTGTATTTTCCCCTTTTGCCAACCCTATGTGTCAACTTTATTATGAGTATCTCTCAATCATTCCTCCCTCTCTCCCCTTCTTTCTAATCTTGTTACCCACCAATGAGACAACTCACATTCTCGCTTGTTCATTCGCCATCAATTTCTCTCTCTCTATTCCCCTTTCCCTTTCCCCTTCCGTAGTTTTTTACTCCGTTCTTCTATTTCCTTTCCTCCTCCTCGATCTAAGCTATACAGTTCTCCTCATCTTCTCTTTATTCTGTTTCCTCCGCTTTATTCATTCATTCTCTCCATTACTTCCTCCCTTTTTTAACCTTTCGTCCCTCCACTTTCTTATTTTCGGTGCATTTCTCTCCCCTTCCCTTCCTCATATATATGCATCACAGCCCCCTCTCCCCCTCCCGTACCCCTACCCCTATTTCGTACCCCTCCTACCCCTGTTTCGTACCCTACCGCGCCCCCAAAGCCCCTGAGGGATCAAATGTCCCCCCTTCCATTTCCTCCCTCCCCCTTCTCCTTCCCCCCCTCCCCCCGCCCCCTGGCATGACCCGGCCTCCGTGGCAAATTATTCACAATGGCTCTGGTATAGCAGGCTTGACAGGATAGACAGCGGTGTGGAAAAGGACTGCTGGCATGCAAAGCTGACGTCATGCGATCCATACGTCACGCAAGTACAGCAAGATTTAAACAGGGAACAACTCGTCGGGTTGATAGGCGACGCAGCCACGAGTCCCAGATAACAACAGGCCCTCAACCTCTTCAACATGAATGAGGACAAGAACAATCACCGGTCGCGTCGCTTCAATAACACAGCCGTGCAATCGTGCAACAGATAAGGCCATGCGCATGAGTAAACCATGCATTCGGACCAGCATGCACGATGAAGCCTTCGGAGGGGCCGGCCACGCACAGAGGCAGACAGGTAAGAACTCTCAGTGCAGGTGTCGGTCCAGAAGTGATCAATGATACGGCAGGTGTGTCGACACTCCAACGCCGAAGATCGTTACAGATCAATACTAATTACGAGGCGCCCGGGTCAAGTCACCCTCCCCCCCCCCAATTCCCCTCCACCTTTCCTCCCCCATGCACCAAAACCCCCTTCCTGTTCCCCCAACTCCCCACTAACCAACCCGTTATTTGTGGCCCTTAAGCACTCAATAAATCCACTCCTTGTAATACTTGTTCACGTGACCTAATTGCCCCCTCCAGTTTACCCCACCCCACTATAGTTTTTTTTTTTGGGGGGGGATCACTTGTCTATTATTGTTTTTTTCTTAATATAGCTATAATTAAGGATGTAAGACCTGTAAGTCTGCATTCCATCCCTCCTGGAGAATACCTCC